CGACTTCTGGTGCTCAATTTACCGCTCTCCCATTGGTCAAGCCAGTAGTTTGATTTGCGCCCTGTCGTCAACTGACGTTCCCGTTCTGTTGCTAAATCAGACAAGGCCGCGTTCAGGTGTCCCTTTAATTGTTATTTTTGTTAACGACCCTGTGCTGCACCAATCCACAAAATGTTATCTCCTTGAAATTGTAAAGGTGGTGGTGTTACATTTTTCCTGCGCAACCGCGCAAATCTGGGAACAACTAAAATAAAGTAGTACCCAGTGTTTCTTCGCGCATAGCAACAAACATGGCAGAGAAGGTATCTTTATTTTGTAAGTGATTTCATCTTAGAAACTACAAATGATGCGGACTATTTTCCCTTTAATTAGGTTTTCATAAAAATCCCAGTCGAAGATCGAGATTTGGATGGCGTATTTAACTTTCCCTGCCAATCTTCATGGAATGGCTGTGCCGTTGTTTTGACGCATGGCGCCGGCGGAGATATGAACTACCTTCATGTGGAGAAACTTGCTGCTCACCTTGCAAGCACTGGAATTCTCTGCTTGAGGTTTACTTGCCGAACAAGAAATTTCCAGTATAGGAAGGAATGCTTTACTGCAGTTGTGGTAAGCTGTAATGAAATAAGGTCTATGTTTCTACCTTTCGTGTTTTGGCTGTCTAGACGCTGGGGGGCAGGGATGGGTGAGAAAATGGGGGGACTGTAAATTTTAGCCACTACAAAGAGGGGGATCCTGAGGTAGATTATTTGTTATTGAGCGGGGCTTTGAAATTTGAAAGAGGCAGAGTCTTAAATAAATAGGAACAAGATATTTTAGTATACTAATAACTGAGTTGGGTACCCCGGGTTTTATGGCTTGGAGCCTTTGGGATCCCTATGATTCTTCTTAGAGTACAGTCTAGCACAGTATTGTGGTGCAATCAAGGAGTATGATTTATAATTACAAAGGATGAGGATGAAGTTAGAGTGGAGTTTGGCAGCTTGGGTGAAACGTCCAAGGACGAGCTAGCTCTTATGACCACCACACGCAGTGGTGGAGTGGCAGGCTCCTGGAAAACGGAAAATCACATGAGAGCCACTGGAGGCCCACATAAATGGAGCTTAAGCTGCTTTCTGTATCATGATTCGAGCAACTGACATATTGCTACTGCTCCTAGGAGGGAAAATCACCACTATTCATTTGCTCTACCCAGTGGAAAGACACTGAGGGAAAAGTTTCTTTTCTTTATAAAACAAACAAGATATTAAACACCATGGTTTTGGTGTGGCTTCAAGCCAGTAACATGTAGATCTGAAGTCCAATATGCAATTAAACCGCTACATCACTGCGTCCTCAGAAATAATGGTATGCTTACATACAGTAAAACTGTTTAGTGTGTGTGTGTGTGTGAAAGTGGGGGCGGGGGGAGTATTGAAATGCTCATCTAATAGAATAGGGGGGACCCTGGGAGGGACCTGAAAAATCCAGTTTTGGTAGATGGGGGGGGGGGGTCATGGAGAAAAAATTAAGAATTGTTAATTTCTCACCCATTACCCGCTCCCTCCTACAAATAATGAACAGTCTCTTATTAAGCAGAATTGAAGCTTATTATGGTGGATTAGTGTTGTGAAATCCATTTGTATTGTAATACATGAACTGTTACTAAGAAAAGATATGTGTAAAGAGGAGGAAAGAGGAATGTAGAAGTGCCCTGTCGTGTTCAAGTGTGTTTTTGTTGCAAAGTCAAAACGAAATTGAAGTTGTTAAACTTCAAAGTCAAATCACTTTTCATTTCTCCCCACCCGGAGAGCTTCAGCATTAACTAAACTATTCCTACCAATTCTCGTGCCTTAGGTGTGAGTTTCACTTCTGTGGATCAATAACTTTGAAGGCCTCTGGACCCATTACTCACATACAGGCTTAGAATGTAAAATAAACTATTAGTGGTTTATTTTACATTTTAAGCCTGTATTTGAGTATAAGGCTAATTTTTTTGACAAGTTGAAAAATTTGTGTGGACACTTTGTTCACACAGGACTATTCAATATTTTTTTTCTGTTCCTATGGAACTTGAAACAGCTAGGTGTCTAAATTTTTGTATGTTTAAGGCGGTTCTGTGTGAAAAGAACACCAGCCTATAGTTGTAGCACAATTTTTCAACTGTTCGATAATTTGTCTGGTTCTGTGTGAACGTAGCGGAAGAACCAATGTAAGAAAGAAGGTCAAAGGGAATGATCATACTTTCTGCAAAATCTTTGGGTTAAGAGAAGACTGCAAGGGGTATATAGTTAACGTCACAGAAAGTGTGGCATACCAGGTTATATTTGTGAGTTGTTTGAGTCAAAACCCAAACGAGCAAGGTATGAGTGCACGAGGGCTTTTGACACAAACAATGAGTGAAGAGAACCCCGTACAAAGCACTTTCTATGATGTGAACTGTTTGCTACACATAGCATGAGAATTTTCACTGGAATAGTCTTCTTAATGTAACGCATATTACTTAAAGCAAATCACAAATAGTAGAACCAAAAACAAAATGTACTAACAAAAGTTAAATCTACAAAGTAAGTCACCAACGACAGACCTCAGCGATGTGGGCTTGTATTAGCGTTCTCCATCTTTCCTTCGAACTTGAAGTAGAAAATTGGTGATTAACACATCAAGGTCTCTTGCATCAATATTTTCCAACTCTCTCGGCTCGTTCCTTGAAACATACTAAAAGCTTTTTCAACAAAGAAACATCTCTCTGTGTTTTGCTTAATGTGTTCTTGTTTTCTTGATGCTACACAACCTCTTCTAAGGAGCAACCAACTGACACAAACCTGTTATAATTTTCCCTCGTGTCCACCATTTTCTGAAGAAAAATTTGGAGGTGCCGCTAAAAAGCCGCCAAATTTGGAATTAAGCCATTTGAATGAAAACAATGAACGACTCTGATTGAATCAGAAAGGCATTTAAGTTGTTGTTGATTGGTTATACTTCCACATGTGAAAACAGCTGTACGCCATTCTAACTGGCCTTGTAAGCTTTCCTCACTTTTGAAAATAAAGCGATAGATTTCTACAATTGAAGCTTTACAAAATAAAATTCTCATGATACATGTAATAAAAACATTTTCTTGAGAACTTCAGAACTCTTCGGAATGTTTTTGGAAATATTCGTAAGGTCTTTGGAAATCATCTGTTGCTTTAAGATATGATCCGTTCCCCTACAAAAACCTTGGCACTCTCCCAGAAATAAGTCTCATATTTATGACTCTCAAAAGGTTGGCAGGTAAACTAAACTATGTCGAAATTGATTCTGACAATGTTTATCTTTTTTGCTCACTCTTTTATCACTGAGGATAATAATAAGAAACTACTGTCTTGAATCTGAGGAGCCGTATTGGGCCACCTATTCTTGGCAACCATAATCCCCTTGCATTTTGTGGTCCATGTTTAAGGCGTTATGTTAGAGCAATATTTTATTTTCTTTGACCTGCAGGAATTCCTAAGAAATTTTGAAGAATTTCCAGTAAGGGTGTGTGTCATAGCAGGTACTTCTCATCATGATTCTGATCGTAAATCGTATTCAAATACCAATGATAAATTACAATCCTCAGAGCACGGCAGAACTCAAAGCAGAGGTATTTTTAGCCAAGCACGCCGTGTGCAAACTAAACTGTGTTATTGCGTATAACAAGCTAGCTTCAAAGTGTCAGCATTTTGTGAATTGGTGTTTAGCTGTGTGCAATGTTAGTATTTTGGTGTGGACAATTTGGTGGCAAAACTTGTGCCTTCACTTACCGATTGCTCTGCAGATTGGGGTAAACTCCTACACTCGTTAGTGTGAGTTGGTTTTTTTTGTGGTCTATGGTCTTAACAATAATTGTGTTAAAGTTTTAGTTATTGCCCCCAAAGGTTGGATTTCGAAGGCATGATCTTTGCTGGGCTAGTTCACAGAGAAAGAAAAAAGAGAGAAAGGCTCACTTCCCAACAACCAAGTCATAAATCGTATGGAGATTGTTTAATACCTTTAAAGGTTGTCCTTATTAAAAACATGTAACATAAAGTAATATGGTCCTAATATTATCATTGAAGGTCGTTCAATGGGTGCACGGGCTGCAGCAGAAGTGGTATCAAACAGCAGCCTTACAACAGACTTTGTTTATGGTGTAGCTTGTTTGTCATACCCTCTTCATACACCAAGAAAAACTTCAGAGCTTCGAGTATCACCCCTTCTCCATGTTGGTGTGCCTGTGCTGTTCATTAATGGTAGAAAAGATCCATTTTGTAGGGCAGATTTAATGGAGAATACTGCTCTGAATAGAATGGCAAATGATTGGACTATGCATTGGGTGGATAGTGCTGATCATGAGCTTAAGGTGAATGGCAAAGTTAACAACGAAATCATCTCCAATATGTGTGAGTGGTTTGTACAATGGTGCCAGTCTGTATTCATGGCAGAACGATCATGACAAACAACTGTGGAGTCTTTGCTGTTTTTCTTCAGGCACAGGGCTTGGAAGAAAAAAAACTTGAATGCCACCTTGCCCTTTGAGCTCTTAACAAATTTTTTTGCTTGCCGAAGGCCATTGCTTGTATGTCTCAATGAATGATTTCCCTGCAAGATCATCTGAGACAACTAACTGCCTTGACCCTCCACCCAATAGGCAAGTGAGCTTCAAAACGTGCTTGGCCATCAAGAAAATTTACATTTTCCTGATTAAAACTGTTCCACAGTTGGTCAGCCATGTGGGACAAAACCAGCTGCCATGTTCGCCAGTATGGGGCCTTTTTGCGGACTAAATTTCGAACGTGAATACATCAATGCTTTGTTAAATTCATTATTGTTATGCGTAATAAAACAAATTGGAAAATAACATAAATCAATTTCGACCGGGGTACATCAAGTTCGAATGCTATGCATCGATGTTGTTTAGCATAAATCGCTTTTCCGAATCATTCGAGCGTGACCGTATGCAACTAAAAGATGTTCAATAAAACTAAAAGATGAGGAAGCGGAAATAGAAATGACCGGAAACAGGAAGTGATAAAGTCCGGTCCAAATGACGTGGCTCATACGTGCGTGACATTACGTAACTAAAAGATGTTCCAATAAAACTAAAAGATGAGGAAGCGGAAGAGGCCCCGGGAACTAACACTTCCAATATGGCGGAAATAAAGACAGATGATTAGGTGAACCACACACGTTTGAAAAGCATTATGCAGGGTGTACTCATTTGGTTGCCCAACATCGAAGGATTTTTTACGTCTTTGGGTAGGCTACTGGAAAGTGTAGAAGGGCAAAGGAACACTGCGTCGTACGACTCTGCTGAATTTTTTAGTCGCCGTTTGCGAGAAAACGAAAGAGCTCTTGTCACTTTGGCTCTAAGAATAGAAGAAGCCTTCCCAAATGAAGTTGAGGTGATCTCTGATCTAAACGAACTTGTTTTTATTATGAACGAACTTTCAAGGGACTTTGACAGAATTGTCGAGGACTCGGAACGTTCTACGTTTAGTGCACCAGCGTCCCTAGACGACCGTCTTTCAGCTGTGGCGAGGAACGGTTTAGTTGGCAGACCAAGGCTACAGATCTTATAGGAACAGCTGCAAACTCTGCACGATGACGCCAGTTTTCGTTGGGCTGATATCGGAAGAATTCTTGGAATCTCCGAGAGAACTTTGCGCCGTCGAAGACATGAATTTGGGTTGCCAGTTGGTGTGGGGGAGGATTTCAGTGATGTTTCCAACGATGACCTTGACGAGCACGTGAGGGAAATTCTTGAAGTGACACCAAGCGCTGGTCAACGCCTGGTTGAAGGGGGCATGAGGAAAAGGGGCTTACGAATCCAGCGCCATCGTATTCAGGAGTCTATTCGAAGAGTGGATCCGGTTGTTAGCACTTTAAGAGCAGCATAGCAGATAATTCGTAGAGTGTACAGTGTGCCATGCCCCAATGCATTATGGTAAAGTAAAAGAATACATTACCTCTTTTATAACGAGTCTCTGTTTCGCGGGGTCTCCTTGTTTAACAGGCCCCCTTTCACAACAGACCCACCCCTCTTTTCAAAACAGTCAGGCACTTTATTATTTCTCTAAGGGCAACACCCGCCGGAGAGGAGGACTCCCATTTAAAAAAGGAGGGGGGGTTCTCTTCATACTTTTTAGGGTTTAGAAATGCGGGTTTGGTACCTCTCAGGGTGTTCAGCCTCAAACGGTCCATTGGGAGAGCTTTTGCAGTATCTTTTAGGGTATTGGGCCGAAAAAAAAAATGACAGTTAGGAGATAATGTGTTGTTTCAGAATTGTTACCTCCTAGGGATGAAAAACATTTCAAGCTACGCACACAAATCAGGATCCTGGTACCTCTAAGGGGTTCTTTTAAAATTTCCGACGAGCACTCCCGTTCTTTTCATATGAGAGTCCTCCCTCCCCTCTCAGCAGCAACACTGGTGTTAAATCCGTGATACAAGAGAGGCGAGGCTGTAATTTTGATGCATGAGCATTAATGCCAATTCAAATTCTGATATATCTCATGCTTTGAAATACCTCCCCCAATTCTATTTGGACTCCTCACTAGTCACCCTAACCCAGCTTCCCAGCCCCCATCTTCCCCCGATATTATGCTGAAAATTCCTGACTATCATACCTGTTATTCATGGTCAACAAATGCCTCTTGTTGTTGTCATGATTATTACTATTTTATTTGTTGTTGTTATTATTATTATTATTATTATTTATCATTACCAATATTACTCATGTAGGCAGATTTTTAAATTTTTTTTACCTATTTTAACCTAACCTACATGTGATAGTGCAGTGTAACAATCTCTGTTGTGTCCAACAGGCACATTGATGGCAATCACAAACTAATCCAGCCATACCGAATTGTCATTCATGGTGGTTTAGATGGTTTTTCAAGAATGATAGTATTCCTTCATGCATCAAGCAATAACAGGGCTTCAACTGTACTGCAGTATTTCTAGTCAGCTGTTGAGCAATACAATTTACCATCAAGAGTTCGCAGTGATCTTTGGATGGAAAACATAGAAGTTGCTCGCTTCATGCTGCAAGAAAGAGGTTTAAATAGAGGCAGCCACATCACTGGAAAATCTGTTCATAACCAAAGAATAGAGCGACTCTGGTGTGATGTCAACCGGGTTATTGTGAGCCGCTTTTTGAACATTTTCCTCTTCCTTGAGCAGAGTGGAATTTTAGATCCAACAGACGAGGTGCATCTGTTTTGTCTTCATCTTGTCTACATTCCACTGATTAATAATGCAATCAACCAATTTATCGGTCAGTGGAATAATCATCCTGTAAGCACACAATGCAATTTCTCTCCCAATCAGCTCTGGATACAAGGAATGTTAAATTCCAGAAATTCTGGATATCAGGTTGTGACAGATGTGACTGCCAGAGAGGCTGTTAATTTTGACCATTAAAGGGATCGATGAGAAGGGCCTGTACCTGATGTGCAGAGTGACTATGCAGTTTCGGTACCTGACACAATTACTACTCTGACACATAACCAGGAATTGTCACTGCAAGACGCTAGAGATGCAGTCTTCCAAACTGGTGATCATGATGGAATCATAGCCTACCAAGTGGTATTGCAGATTGCTTCTTTTTATTTAAACTGCTCTTCATGATTTATAGTATTGACTTCATGTACATGGAATATGAACTCTAAATACAGTTACTATAAGTTGTTTACTATTAAACTTGAGATCTAGCCTTGATTTGCAGTCACTCAAAGCTGTGGCAACATTGCATGCATAATGGCTATTGCAGAGAAGTTTATACTCTTATCAATGAGCTCTTGTAAGCTCTTATTGTTACTGTTGAGTTTGTCATGCTGTTAACGAAACAGTTAATTTGCTGAGTAACTTGAAACTTGAACTTTGAACACGGAACATTTTCTACTATAAGTAACCTACACAGAATGGAAAATTTTCTTGTTTTATTCGAAGGGTCCACTGGCACATTTTCCTTGACCATAGCTTAGGAAATTAATAAATTGATATTTTGCATTAATTTGAGCAGTAGAAATTTCTAGCACCAAAGGAGCAAAGACATTCCCGTAAACATAAAATCATGGGTAATTGTAACAATTACTTATGTCCTTTCATTCAATCAAACTCTCTTATTTAATTCCTTAGTGATTATGATTCATGTGTTCTGTTATTCATGTCCTATGCAATATGCAGAAAAAATGGTTTGTGGGTCCAAGAATAACACAACTGTTAACTGAACTTAATATACCAGTAAGTAAGGAGCATCCTTTCATGCCTATATCTTGCCAAAACCAAGTTTGCCATACAAAATACTCTTATTAAGGTAATCCTTGAATACACTGTAATCGTTGTGCACAACTGCCTTTCAATTTTGGGGGAATTTGTTTCTCATGTAAATACATTATCAATTTTCTTTACAAGTCCTTGATCCCATGTAAATCATACTTTTCTTTCTTACGAGCCTCTTCACTAAATCACTAAACTACAGTCTGTATCATTGTCGAAAACCATCAACATTTACACCAACAGAGAATCCCAATACAGTTATCACTGAGTATGACAACCATCATCATCACCATCATCAATTTTAGTTAAGTGTCAGGGTTATTAGGTTATTGTATAAAGATAGTCATACTGTTAGGATCACCTTTCTCATGTAATTCATCTATATATTGGAGAAAAAACTGTTGAGCTGCTTGGTTTACAGGATCAGCAGTTTCTCTCCACTCCAAATGTAACTTGAGCATCATGACATCGATTTTGCCAGGGTGTGGAGGAAACACACGTTGCTGAACGTCAGGAAGTTTCCCAAGTAAATCGAGGAGTGTTGTTTGTGACACTTTAACAGAAGCCAGTCCCTTCCTCAAGTCATCTAAGGCAGGGATGCGCTTTGTGATGACTTCATACAACAAAATGCACTCATATGCTAGGTGTCTTCTCTCCTCTGTTACACTTATATGAGGGTAGCCAGCAGATGTCAGCAGCTCTGCGATATTCATGGAGCTTGATGGATTGGTGAAATCTGCCAAAGATTCTTTTTTGCATTGAAGAAGCTGTTCACAGAGAAACATTAAATAAACAAACATTACCATAACTGCACTAAAAGTTTAGTGCATGAAAAGTATTACAAATATTGTAAAAAATGGACTTTGTTGCAAAATGATACATTACAGACAAATTCTGGCATTTGTTTACTGTGTGCAAGACTGTTCTTTGAATACAAGTACCGGTAATAGGATTCTCTTAATGGGCATCTTGCTTCTTCCGACACTAACTATGACACATTGCACCTTATTTTATGTACACCTTATTTTGACTAATGAAGTCACCAAAGACAATATGAACCTAAACACCCAACATGACCTTGCTATCTATTATAAAATCTACAACTGAATGTTTTTGCAACCATGAATATTTTTAAAATGAAACAAACCTGGGTGAGCTTTTCTTTCAAATCTGGATCTGGAATGTCTTCCAAAGTGATATATTCCACTGCTGAATCTCGACTTCCAGTGCTTATATATGAGACTACAGCTGGAGAAATTCCTGGGACACCATTGCAGTCATTCAAGATGGCATGAAGAATCATTTTGCCTGCAAGGATGAACAAACCACCTGACAAAACATCATAATTGTGGATTGGTACTAGGTGCCCTGGTAGTCCTTCAAAAACATTGATAGCTCCACCTGGTCCTTGTTTCAATCTTTCCATCAACAGATGGAAAAATTCCCTTGATACGCCACCTGCATCAACTCCAACCTCGTCTACAAATTCAACGCACAAACGTTTGGTTATGTCAAAACTGGGGTTTTTATATTTTCTGAGCATCTTCTTCAAAATATGTGTGTTCCTGTCCACAACTACATCAAGATCACAGCCAAATGGCTTCACAGCCTCCTCAGTAAATGCTTTGAGAGACTTTGCTGGAACCTTTGCATTCGCCATTGCTGCTAAGGGTGTATCCCAAAGCTACTCCTCATCTTCTTTGGTACTTTCAGAAGCTACACAAGTGATACCTATCAAAGAAAAAAGGCTTTAAATGACAGTTTTTCCTCTATATCCACCTGCTTGCTTATGCACCAAATGCCTAATGTCTTGTTAAAAGAAATCTGACCTACCAGACAATTTTGCGATCGTATGGTCTTAATGATGATGCTATTGCTTTCTTACAATCATACTTGACTGATCGTCAGCAAAGGGTCAAGTTTCATGGGAAATTCTCTGAATGGTGTCCAGTCAAATGCGGCGTACCTCAAGGTAGTCTACTTGGACCCCTGTTATTCAACATTTTTCTAAATGACCTAAACTTTGCTGGACAATCTCATCTTTGCGTCTATATGCTGATGATACTGCAACTTATGCATCTAATCGTGACATCATCACCCTGGAAATCTCTTTAAACCAGGACCTTAACATTCTGGTCACCTGGTTTTCTCAAAATTATCTGATTGTCAACAGTATCAAAACTCAAGGTATGATACTTGGCAGTCACACTCACATCCCTGAATGTTTCATTGGTGATACTAAGGTGGAATTGGCAAACTCTCTTAAAATTCTTGGGGTGACTATTGATAACAAATTGACTTACTGTGAACATATATCCAACATGCTCAAGAAAGTCTATGCCAAGATTGGTGCTCCAAGATTTCTCAAAAGACTGATGCCTCATAACATGTCCCTATCACTTTGCAAGGCCTACCTGCTTCCTCATTTGGAATACTTCAGTCCACTACTTATTGGAATAAATAAAACATTGAGCTCTAAACTAGAGTCAGCCAACAAATATGCACTTAAAACTCTATTAAATCTAGGTAATAATCTTGACTATGATACTATATTATCCTTGAGTGATATGCAGTCTCTTGAACATAGACGCTATTATAGTTCTCTTGTTTTATTATACAAATGCATGCACTCTTATGGTCCACAATACATCAAGAACTTTTTTCAGACTCGTCATACAAAATATAATTTAAGAAGTAGGGGCATTAATCTGGAACAACCTGGCTATAATAATAAATTCTTTCATAATTTCTTTACCTATAAAGTTAGTCGCCTATGGAATAAACTACCTGCATAGAGCGGTTTTCACTTGACTGTCGAAAGGGATTGGTTTTGGTTTTGGTTTTGGTTTTACTACGCCCTTTGGTTGGCTAGTGTATTTACTTTGGTTTTGGTTTTACAACAGTCAAGTGAAAACCACTCTATATTAAAACATCAAGTAAATTTAGTGACTTCAGTAGTTACCTAAAGGCTTTTGACTTCAGCAAATTAGGGTACAGCTGTCATTGTAACTCTTGTATATAGATTTTTTTAATTAGTATTTATTTTCCATTTGTTTCCTAATAGTACATGTATTTCCTACCTTTCTCTAGTACCTTAAGGTGGCTCCGTAATTAATACAAGAGCATTTAGCTGTGACAAATTTTCCGTCATAACTTTTTTGTTATTAACGCGATGGCTGCGAAACTTTGCAAAGAACAACAGATATCATTCGGCAATAACACGAAATATTCCGATTTCATTGATGGTAAATATTTCTTGAGAAATTAGCGCTTAAAAGGACCCTACTGTTCAAAGAAAATCGCGTCTAGTAAAAAATTTTGCTGATATTTTTTACTGAAATTTCTGGTATCGGCTTTAATTGATATAATAAATATGCCAGAGGAATTTCAGAAAAATCGTTGGAGCAGAAGTCCGAAACTAAAAGTCGCTCAAAATTCAGCTGTGAAATTGTTTTGGAATTTCAAAAATAAATTACTATCGGGTAGAAGGAGCCACCAGTTTGAATTTTCGTGACAAGTAAATTCAACGTTTTCTAATTCTTAAAACAAAAGCCGATTGCCTATCGTGCTATTCTTTAAAAGGTACTGTTTAGTTGTAGAAGCACTATAAATTGCTCCAAACCTTGCTCTGAGGTAGAATTACTTGTTCCTCGACATTTTTAAAATATCCCATGGCAGTTTTGGTTCAAACTCCTGTTGCATACATTTTGATGTATTGCAATGCATTTTCAACGACTTTTACTTCTGTTCGTTGCTTCCAACTCAGGAAAAAAGTATTGAGATTGGACGCTACCTCGTACCAGAGCTCAGATAGAACTGTCCAGCACCTTTGTTTATGACTACAAAATGAGAACGAGCGGCAGTTCTGCGTGGAATTCGCACCTCACACAGGGGGGACGAACGACATCGATGACCATGCCTGTGAACCGAATAACATCACAGTCCAAAATAAAATTATCGCAAAAAATACTGCCCGTGAATAAATTTACAACTCTGGAATTTTTGTCACTCCTTCCCTCAATGAATGGGTATTTTTTCTTGATTATTATGTTTTGCTCTGCAATACATGTTTATACAGATCGGTTCACAGACATGGGCATCATTGTCATTCGTCCCCCTGGCTGAGGTGCGAATTCCTCGCACAAGTGCCGCTCGTGCTCATTTTCTGGTCATAAACAAAGGTGCTGGACAGTTCTATCTGAGCTTTGATACAAGGTAGCTTACAATCCCAATACCTTTTTCCTGAATTGGAAACAACGTACAGCAGGAAAAGCCGTTGAGGATGCATTGCAATACATCAAAATGTGTGCAGCAGGAGTTTGAACCAAAACTGCCAAGGGATATTTTAAAAAATGTCGAGGAACAAGGACAACAAGTCATTCGACGTCAGAGCAAAGTTTTGAAGCAATTTATAGTGCTTCTAAAACTGAACAGTACCTTTTAAAGAATAGCACGATAGGCAATCGGCTTCTGTTTTCAGAATTAGCAAACACTGAATTTACTTGTCCCGAAAATTCAAACTGGTGGCTCCTTCTCGCTGATGGTAATTTATTTTTGAAATTCCAAAACAATTTCACAGCTGAATTTTGAGCGACTTTTAGTTTCGGACTTCTGCTCCAACGATTTTTCTGAAATTCCTCTGGCATATTTATTATACCAATTAAAGCCGATACCAGAAATCTCAGTAAAAAATATCAGCAAAATTTTTTACTAGACGCGATTTTCTTTGAACAGTAGGGTCCTTTTAAGCGCTAATTTCTCGAGAAATATTTACCATCAGTGAAATCGGAATATTTCGAATCATTGCCTAATGATATCTGTTGTTCTTTGCAAAGTTTCGCAGCCATCGCGTTAAAAACCAAAAAGTTATGACGGAAAATTTGTCACAGCTAAATGCTGTTGTATTAATTACGGAACCACCTTAAGTAATTTTAATATCTACAATTGGATTCTATTTACATTTTTTGCACACTTATTGCTCTGTTCTTGATATATTTTTAATATATTTTATATAGTTTTACTTATAGATAGTTTTATAGTCTTATGTTTTAAACATGAGCCTCTGGCTTGGGCAAAAAATAAATAAATAATTTATGACCTTCTACATCATTTATATTACACTGAAAGAAAAATACTGAAAGTTAACTAGGCAAATGACACCACATACACTGTTTTATGCCTTGACACTGGGTGATGAGCTAGGATGGTCAACTGATAGTGACACATTACAGTTTTCATAAAATTGGCAATTAAGATGGAGAAAGACAAAAGAAGCAAGCCAAATTATCAGAAATATTACTAAATATTATTCATCTGATGTATCCCAACATTATTTACCCTAGTGAAACACATACAAACACACCTGTATGATTTTCCTCAAGAAGTATGTTGATGGCTCTCCCCAAATCTGAACCAGCACTTTCCAGAGCCTGTTCAATTCGCTCCTGCTTTAAGTTAGGAAACATTTCTACCAGGATATCCAATTCCCTCTTTTTGGTCAATTCATTTGATGCTTCAGACTGACTCATGATATTTGTCGTATCTACATTACTAAAAGGTTGGTAAACATCAGAGGATGGCATCTTTTCTACCACAAGCAAAGGTACATCAGTTTGCTGTAAGCTTGATGGTGGAGCAACGTCCTCGTCTGTACAACTGGGACCTGGTTCAACAATAGGATTTAAGACAGGGAGCAATGTACTTCCTTCCAAGTAATCCCTGATGTCCTTGTCACTAGAAACCTGACTGTCATCATCGTCACCCTGAAATAATATTATATACTTATATTAAGAATAATTATTTAGATGCTAGAAAAATAGTAGTTTGATCTTTAAAAGACTTCATAACACATTAAATGGATGTTAGAACTTTAAGCTGGCCAAGAAGGAGCATTGCGTTCATTCATCTTTAATACAGTATTCATAGGAATGAAAAGTCAAGGAACCTTTGTTAGAGAGAGTAGCATGTTATCCCTTGCCATGTATTATAGAGAGGGTATAATTAATTGTTTACCAGATAGCAAGGAAGATCAGACAAAAAGAAAGAGATGCTTATAAAATATTTCCATTCCCAGGAGAAGTGCCACAATATTGATATCATGCCAAATACGGTAAAGAAAGCTGCTGTGTACTGTATACTGTATTTCTGCATGATACGACAAAAAGTAAACATTTCAGTTGCTAAAAATTATTAAGCAATCACCTCTTTAGAACTCAGAACTTCCAATGCTCGTATATACAAGGGTCCCTGCCCTGATATGTGTCTTATTACACGGGCATTCCTCTCTTGGCCTCTTGGTACTTGCACAGGCACAATGTGGGAGCCAGAGCTCTTTACAAATTCAAACCTAATCAAAAAATTATAAAAGAAACTAATGTACTCAACCAGAGTGAAACAGTTTGATCACTCTCATATTTTCTCTCGTAATACCGGATAGCTAAGAAGCAGAATATAGCGTTTGGTTTATTATTTAGTTGTCCTGTTAAATAATCTGCGTTATTATATGTCTAGCTCCATGAGTGGGCAAGATGATCGAATCCTGCACTGTGATTGGCTACTTGAGGGGGCAAGATGGAGCTATGTTGCCTGCTTGGCACTACCTGCTGTGTCCCGCAAGAAAAATTTCCCTGAAAGTCATATAATAAATCCTTTATTGACCAACCTTGTTCGGTCAAGGTGGCTGGATATTGGCCAAGTTCTTTTTTTGGCTCGAGCTCCATAAACACGCAAAAAAAGAACCTGGCCAATATCCAGGCATCTTGACCAAACAAGCTTAGTCAATAACCCATATTTCTTCTGCACAATTAGCAAGAACTGGGCTTTTTTTACAGTTACTCGCTATTTTTTAAAGTTCGTTTTGTACTGTAGTTTCAAACACCCGTCCTGTGATATCAACAATAGATGGAGGGCCTAGCCTAGATAGTTATGAAGTAACCCATGAATAAGTCTTCAAACTTAACCTCATGAATATGGAGGTCCATCACTTACCCAATGTCATTTTGATCCGGGCGTTCAAGAGCTTCTTTAAATAACGAGGCCAGTTCAGAGTAAAGACGTGCCTCACTCCAGTTTTTAACTAGTCGAAAGGCGTCAATGTACAGTCCTCGCTGGACTAAATTTCCCTTAGTGGCGCCTCGCGGCACTTGAATCCATTCAGGGTCAAACATATCTTTGTAAACGTACTCGGTTGGGTTTTCGCCTCTTGCATTTGCGGTATAATTATTTCTTCTTCCTCTCGTTGGGCACCTGCTGACGTTCCTTTGTACTGGGCTGTAGTTCTGTCTCGGATTGTAGGCCGTCGAGGCTACAACCCTCGTTGAAGTAGCACTACGATTAGGAATTCCCCGGCGATGCCTCGGTATCTGAAACCTTGCATTCATTTCTTCCTCAGCGGAGGAAAATTCCCCACTGCTACTGTTCTCCGCCCTATTTGGGTTTCCCGATTGCGTCTGTAAATTAGTTACGGTATGTAAGACGGTGCGAACAAAATCTTGGACAGATCTAGATCTCGTGTTGTTTTCTGAGCTACTCTCCCGGTCCGCCATGTTGGTTAGAGAGAACAAACATTGGCGAAAGCGCGGGAAAGCTAACGTCATTTGGACCGGACTTTATCACTTCCTGTTTCCGGTCATTTCTATTTCCGCTTCCTCATCTTTTAGTTTTATTGAACATCTTTTAGTTGCATACGTTCACGCTCGAATGATTCGGAAAAGCGATTTATGCTAAACAACATCGATGTATAGCATTCGAACTTGATGTACCCCGGTCGAAATTGATTTATGTTACTTTCCAACTTGTATTATTACGCATAACAATAATGAATTTAACAAAACATTGATGTATTCACGTTCGAAATTTTGTCCGCAAAAAAGCCCCATACGCCAGCAAGAAACACACTATGACAAGATGAACAAAGAACTCAGATCATGGTAATTTATTTTGTTTGTCTTGCGAGTTGCCCCAGTACATTTTTGCTGCCTTTAAATACATGACACTGCAGACAACATACAAATGGCCCATTCAGAAGGCATGCATATATCACATGTAGAAGAACAATTTTCTGACATTGGTTGATAAATTGAAAAAAGAAATCGCTCAGGTATATTGTTGAAGACAAGCTGGCAAACTTGCTAAGAGGGAAATTAGGAAAATTCTGCATGTATTTTTCAGGCTTGTGTACTTGTACATGTTTTTAACATCTTTGACTTTCAAAAAATCAATGATGCCATTAATTTTATACAAAGAGAAAAAAAGGGGTGTGAAAACCGCTCCGAGGTATGCTCCCGTGAGCCCCAGTATATTTATCAGCTTTCTGTTGTAAATACTACATCAAAGACTGCGTTCGTGATTGATATTTGAAATGTAAAATAATTGACATTGTGGATATATTTTTGAATTTACAAAAATTTAATGCAATTTGAAATTTGAAACAGTTGATTGGTTCAACAAATTGTAAGTTTGTTATATTAAATATTTTATCTGATTCAATAAGTCTTGTGCTTGCTTCATCCCACCTCACTACTTCTAAACATGTTTTTCTTACCAACGAAATCACAGTAAATGAAATCAAGGCTTACCGTTTTGTTTAATACACGAGACTTTTTTGTTGCAATTTGCACTAACCCAAAACTATTTCAATACATAGTACAAACACCTCTATTCTTTTCTATTCCTCTTGCAAGAATTGAGTAATATTTCTGTGAGCAAAAACGTTATGGTTTCGTTTGTTAAAAAGGAATAATCATTAGATTTTATGACTAACATGGTAACACCATTGAAAGGGGCCTGTTAGAATGAACAGAAAACCAAAGTTTGCCTTGTTTATGTAACAATATACAGTATACAAGGCAGTTAGAGTAGTATAGAGCGCAACAAATTAGCCGGATTCTCAAATGAAATGGAATACATAGCTGGCCAACGTTAACACTCTCATTGCTTTATTGTTATAATATTTGCAGGTATAATGCAATGTGTAACATAAACCTAGCCCATGGACATGTAAGAAACGTGAAAAGAGGTTTAGACCTCTTTTTTCATAAAGCTTATGTAAAATACTTAATTACAGTTTGTCTCTGTGTAGCCTACGTTTGCAAATGACTTGGCGGAGTTTAAATCACACTTCATACAACTTGTGTAAATGAGATAGTGGTAAAATCTTTTTTTTTCTTCTGATGAAAGGAATTTTTGACAGTTTTGAGAAGTTATCAATGGAGATCATTTTTAACATCCGGGCAATACGAGACCTTAAAGAGAGACTCCAGTACATCTCTTCCAAGCAGAACAAAACAGCATCGTGAACTTTCACGTTGTCTTGGTCTAACTAAATACTACCAAAACATTATGAATCATCCGGTACAAAATTGGTTAGAGGCTTAAAGAGCCTTTTTTAGCTGTTTACTACAAAATGACATTTTCTAATAGTTTTGCTATTCAACTACTAATCAGGATGTCTTTGTGGTTGTTAGTTACGCTTAACAAGACCGTTCTAACTCCTTTATAGTTTGCGCATGATGGACGATTTTGTTTCCCGTAAAAGTCTAGGGACGTAGATAGTGTAAAAACGGTAAAGAAGACAGGCGCATTTAACGTCTCACGACATTCAGTAAGGTCTTCTGTTAAGTGCGTAGAAAAACGGGACGCCCTAAACTGGGACGCTTTCACCGTATTTCCTCGAATAATAGCCGTCCCTCGATTAATCGCCCGCCATTGACGGAAATACTTAAAATAATCGCCCCTCTCGCCATCTACTCTTCCTTTATCTCCTCCCTGTAAAGTTGAAGTGCGATGTGACCCAGCAAAACTGATCAGTGACGATTCAAGCTGTGAAAATTAACCAAGGAACACTTAAAAAGCCCAAGCATGTTCAGTTTGATTGATGTGATTATTTTTTGATTTAATGGGAAAATAAAACAAAATATGTAGGGCACGACTTCCAGTGAACAATACTGAAATGATCGCCTCTCTCGAATATGCGCCTTCCCGCGAATAATCGTCCCCTTTTTGCGCCAAAAAAGAAATAATCGCCCCTAGCTATTATTCGAGGAAATACGGTATGCCCAACTCGTCCAGAAATGACTGACAAAAAAGAGTTACATAGTGAACCTTTTCACCGTTTTTCACTCATCCCTTAGTTAATTACCCACTATTCCTTTGCTTATTTATCTTGGACATTTTTTCATTCACGAACGTGCGTATTGGTGCACAGTTAGCCGCGACCCCAACGTAACACAATGCTAAACAAATTATGCGGCTAAAAAATAAGTTTAAACTATCATCTACTTTAAGTTATGCTTGATGCCGGTTTTCTCAATAAATTTAAACATAACGCATAACTGGGTAGGATTTATTGATTAAATTGGGAAAGAATTTGTCCTTTAACATTTTTAAGGATTGTAACACATGAAAGTGCGATAGAAAAGGTCTTTGAATACCGTAAAAACCCGCAACTAAGAACCTGCATTTTCCCAAGTTAGCCTAAACAGGTTCTTAAATATATGGTTTATAGCACAAATTTAGGCTATTCAGGTTCTTATTTATTTTTTGAAAAGAAAAAGAAAAAAACAACCTTGTACCTAATAGTATTTGGTGGTGGTCAGCTCATTCCTTAGGTAAAACCTGTATACCACATATAAGGCACCTACAGTCTTCAAAGAGGATACTGAACGTTGAGAACTTTTCTTTTTAGATTTTACAATACAAGAACCTGTTTTAAGTTTTAGGCTAAACAGGTTCCTGCATAGAGGGGGCCTAACTGGCAAATTTTAGCCTAACGGGTTCTTAGTCGCGGGTTTTTACTGTACTATGAAACAATGAAAGCAACATTCTCATAAAAGGAACGTCAAAGAAACATGGCACCAATCTATCTTTACCGTGGAAAATTACCGGTAACATAATAACTTAATGGTTAATTGTTTTTCTATTCAGACGAACAATTCGCCAAGTAATTAAAGTGGAGATAATAAAAGGTTGGTCTTTTCGCTGAATCTTTGAGCCAGCATGTCTGCATAACTTTGTAAATGTCCTGCGGACACTTCTCTGGACAAGAGAGTCGATTTCCTTTTTCCAGAAAGGCATGAAGCTGTAAATGAATGTATATGAAGAAGGTTAGAGTTAATGGAGAACAAGGAATCACGATTGCAACATCAAACAAAATGTCACATGAGCGAATTCACGATTAACCTACGAGCGAGGTCACTAATTATGGCGAGCCAAGCAAGCCACGAGAGGGACGGAGAAACTCGCCCATCGCACGAGTTCGCGTCTCCTTTTGAGTGCGGCTCTCGCATGACTTCTCGCGACCACCCTAAATGGAGAACTTGTTCGCAGGCTAATTCACGTTCCGTTCTGATTAACGTCTTAGCAAAAGGGCTTTGTTCTGTTGCCAGTTGTTCGATAGCTGGATAGGGCTATCTAATGGATGAAGGTCAGGAATAACAACTCTGATTTATCCACATGAGAAAAGTACTTCGTAAGGGAAAAAAATAAAGAACAAAACAAACAAACAACAACAAAACTGCGCGGCTAGGAGGGATTTTGCAGAAAGTTTGCATACTTTTTGCCGAAGGCTCAACTTTTCTCTTGAGGTATACGATTACATCTGGCCCGCGAGGAGAAGGTTAAGGTTATGAAGATGAGCTAAAACGCTCTATTCAGTCAATTTTGCTCACCTCTTCAGCTTTGATATCACTATAAGGGTCACCACCGTAAGAGAAGATCTCCCACATTGTTATACCAAAGCTCCAAACATCACTTTTGGTTGTGAACTTTTTTTCTGCCAGGCTTTCTAAAGCATACCTAAATTAAACAAAGAAAAACGGTCTTTAAAAGCTAGCGCATTCATTATGTGCTATGACGGCCATAGTTTCCATACATACGTGTTAAGGTGTTTCGATACAGTTTTTCAGAGGCCATACCGATATTTTTCAATCGCCTTAAAAGTGGTTTTTTCCTTGTCCGATCGCTACAACATTTTTACCAGTAATTGGCTATGGATTGAAATTTGTGAAAATGTAGTTTTAACTAAAATCGATATTACTATGACAACAACAAACAAAAAACTTTGAAATTGATAAAAGCCGAATTTTGTGTGATCTAGACCTGCTACTGAAAATCCAACACTAGGAACTTAAAGTTTGGTGTTTAGCAAACAATCTCCGTCAGAAGTAAAAAATTCTGTATGTTTGAATTCGACGAAAACGAAAATATATTTCAAACCTTAAATTTTCAATAGCCGTGATAGGTTATTTGATAAAAACGTTATAAATGACTCAAATTATTCTTAAGTAGCATAAGAATGATGCTTAATATCATATTTTGATGCTAGGAAATTTTGGTGTACTTTCGTTCATACGATCTTGAAATCTAACCCGTTTTCTCACCACCTGTACAAGTGCAACTTCATTCAAAATATGGACTTTTAGCGCTTTCTTGTATATCTCCGAAACGACTCGAACGAATTCTTTTAAAATCTCTTCATATAATCTTCATAATGTACATAAAAATGTCTGAAACTTTCATGAAGATTGATTCACTGCAACACTTTGAAATTTCAAGACAAACCTATCCTTTATATACATTATGAAGATTATGTGAAGAGATTTATTGTATTATAGGAAAGACCGGCAGCAAGAAGGTGGTACTAATTGCCACCAAAGGATGTATTAAGGCTTTCTCGAGGGAAGACCTCGACTGCGAATCTGAATTATTGTTTATCGATGTATCAACCACGAATAACAGGAAAATAACTATGGGAGTATTTTACCGGCCGCCCGATAGTAACCTCAACGTTTTGCAAGACCTGCAAAATTCTCTCAGTAATCAGAGATTTTAATTTAAGTGAATTTGACAGCATCATACACTACTCTTGGACATAATTCAGGACAACTTCTTACATCAACTAGTGGACAAACCTACGAGGAATCAAAACATACTGGACCTTGTTTTGACTACCAACGCTGACTTGATAGACAATGTTGTGGTAGGTGAACCCTTTTCTGATCACATTATCACCTTTCGAATACAGAATTAGAATCAGTTAACTCATGCAAGGAGCTGGGTGTTCATGTGTCAAGAGACTTATCCTGGTCGAACCACGTGGACGCAATTGTAAATAAGGCAAACAAAGTGGTGGTCCTACTAAAGCGTACAGTTGGTAGCAAGAACAGGGAAATTTTCTCTATGCTCTACAAGTCCTTGGTTAGACCAATCCGAGAATATGCATGCCCGGTATGGTCGCCCTGTTTAGTTAAAGATAATTTGGCAATCGAGAAAGTACAACGAAGAGCATCGAGGGAATCGCTCTCGGTCATAAACTACGCGAGATGTCATAAGAAGAACGATGTATATTGCTAAACTGGAACACACTTCAGCATCGAAGAGAATACCTACCTGTGGTGGAATGCTACGAGACAGTGTTTGGTCTAAATGGCCTAGACTTTCATGATTATTTCGAGTTTTGTAGAAATAAAAACACTAGAGCCAACCATCCATACAAAATACAAACTAAATTAGTTAAAGTTAACTCCTTTAAGTCCTTCTTCTTCGTGAGACTGGAACAGTTTGCCAAACCATCTCTTCACGTACGAAATAAACGTTAACAAATTTAAAAAAGGCTTAAAAAGATGGATGAAGATTTATTGACAAAGAAGCTCATATTTTCATTGTATATATTTTCATTTTAAATATCATTCTTACTACACCATTTTGTACCTGCACTAATGATTTTCACACGCGTTTTTTATAATTTTTAAATATTTTTAAAGTTCAGTTACGGGAACTTTTATAGGGATAACCTCGCAGTCCACCTTTTCAAATATGTATCGTGTATCATGTTTATGAGCAAATATGTATTTCAATAAAGCACTATTAATTAAAAAAAACCTAAAAAAATTATGAAAAAATTTCTCGATTATGATTGGCTAAAAGAAATGCAGTTTTTAGGAAACACGGTGCAGAAAAAAGGTAATTGAGTGCAGAAAAGAGTAACAAACGTGACATTCTGATTGGTTAATAAACAACGGAACTCACTGAAAGCCAATCAATGCGCCATCTAAATGGCGTAAAATTTGGATCCGCTCCAGACCAGTTTCGAGCAAAAACCGAGGTTACTGGCAGTGAATGACAAGTCTAACAAAACAAATAGTGAAAAAGGAATTCTCTATTTTTCTTAGTCACATCAGGCTTCAAAAAAGCATAGCAGTCTCATGTACTGATTAAAGATATGTAAGGCATGGGTAAGGAGTCAATTACGTTGAGCATGGAATTGGCTAAAACTCAATGTTACGAGTTCGAAGGTTTTGAGGATAATTATTCACTGACGATCAGCACGCAGGGATGTCGGATTAACACAAGGAAGTTTAATACCAAAGGAACATAGTCTTTAAAGGGCTTTAAAACACAGCATCCGCCAACACAAACTTGACTTGAACTTAAGTAAAACTAAACAGCCTCTACAAATAATGACAAACTCTCTCTTGAACTTCAGATATCTTACGGCTTCCGCCAACTCGTAAACACAGAACTTGAAAATCGACCTTCGTCACACTTGACTAAACAAAAGAACTCGCTTGGAACTTGTATACCGTTTGACATAAGGTTCTAGAAAATACCAAACAGGCGAATAGTGGTAGCTTTTCGACAAATTTTATGATTTAAGTAACTGATGCAAATCTGCTGACTCATGCTGAAATGTAAACATGCCCTAATTAATTATTCATGATAATCCAAAAACGGGGAGAACGTTTGACTAAGTCACGCAACGCATGAAAGCAATTTTACTACGTAACACTCAACAACGACAAAACGTCTTTGTGCAGCATTTTGTAACTTTAAATTCATCACAAAACAGTTCGAAAGGAGGACTCACTCTTGAAATGTTTTTCAACACTCGAAGGGAAATTTCGTGTCTCTGTGCGGCCACGTAATATCCTCTATTTATTCCTCCCGTAAATTAAAGACTAAACTCGAAGTGATCTCAAGATATCACGAAGTAGTCCGGTCTCATTTCGTGAAATAGCAGAAACAAGCCGAATACTCACGAACTTGCGCGCCCAATCTTGTCCCGAAACTAGTGCATCATTTCATAACTATTTTTCACGTCCCGAACTACCTTGGGTCGCAGTAGCGCAATCGGCTAATCCCTCAACTTAGAGTCTCCTCTGATCTGACGGGTTACACAGGTGAGCTGGTTCAAACCCTAGGAAAGCCAAAATCATAATTCTTTCTTCCTCGAAAAAGTTAAAGAATAAATCAAAGAAATCGAAGTGATCTCAAGATATCTCGAACTTATTCGGCTCTCACTTCGTCAAATAGACAAATAAAACTGAAAACCTACAGATCGCGTGCCCAATCTTGTCCCAAAAATGTCAACTTTGATACATTCCTGAGCGTCGCAAATCCTTTACTTCGCGCTCCGCCGAAGTAAAAATGGAGAAGATTATGAACAAGAAAGCCTTAAAGTAATGATGGTATCGCTTGATAGACACTAAAAGAACAAAGGCTGCACCCTGTCCATTGTACGTTACCGAGAATTTAGTTCGTCCAAAGAGGTATTAGACGACAAAGCGAAACAGCTTCGCTTGGCTGGCCGTGGTAAGCGCCCAAACATAGCTCGGCAAGTATCAGAGGAGGAAGAAGAAATTCTCTGGAAGAGCGGAAAACTCGGAGGTAATAACCCAGAACCTTTAATTCAAACAGACTTGTCACGTGACCTCCAGCGGTGAGAGGTTCGCGGTAAACTCGGATCTAAAACTCTCTAATGTGATTTTAAAGCTATCTCGCAATTTTTTCATGAATATCATTAATACGTAATCACATGATTTTTCTCGTTCAATTTGGAATAAATAAGCACTAGTAAATTTTTTCTAAGACCACAAATTGTTTAGCATTTCGAAAAAATTTACTCGTGCTTATTTATTCCAAATTGGACTCAAAATCATGTGATTACCAGTACCAATTTAAAAAAACGCGACAAGTCAAATAAGAACACAAAAGCGTGCGGAATAGGCCAATTTTGAATCAGTAAAATTTATAATCTTGGCTTCGAGGCAAAGGTGTATAGAACAAAAGAAACTGCATTTAGATTCTACGATGAATAATTTTTGTATTCCTCTCTCAGCCTCGGAGTCATTCGAAGCTGGCCTTTTCAGTGGAGTGGAAACCAATAAACCTCTTAAGCTTGTATGTCATTGTAGAGGATTACTGTTCCCCCAAGTTTCCTACTACAATGTTTTGTTTTCTCAATACAGGTCCCAGGGGAACTTGACCCTTTGTCTTTTTATAAATTATGCGTACATATGCACTGGAATAAGTCAAAATTTGAAAGGAGCAGTTCTCTAGTGTATTATCACATCGGGTTTGACCTGTATTGGGAAACAAAACATTCAAGCTAAAGACGTATATTGTGTAATGGCACTCTATTTAGGTCTCCTAGTGATGAACGGTTACGATTTTTAGCATGCGCAACTTTCGTTTATAGTCTTTCCCCTTTTCAATTGGTTAATAAGGGTTTTAAATCCGCGCGAGCCGTAGTCACTAAGGCCTGTTTACATGGAGGGGGGTGGGGGCACTCAGATAGGTGAGGTAACATGTTGTGGGTCATCCCACCTATCATGTAAACGTGATCAAATAAAATCGGAGATTATATGGACAGGCCGGTTACCCCACTTAAGCGGGTTACCTCACCTACCTGGGGTCCCCCACCTCCATGTAAACAGGCTCAAAAAAACGTTCTCTTTGCTAAATCTACCTAGCGTTAGACTGTTCACAGTTCCCTATTTTTCGTAAGATCTTCAGAATCCACTGAGGATCGAGCGCTTTCCGGTAAGGGCGGCCATCTTGCTTTCAAATGTACCGAGGGGGCGGGCATTGGGGTTTATACTAAGCAGATTTGACCATAATCCCCCGGTTAGACTCGGAACATTTGAAACCAAGATGGCCGTCCGTACTTACCACTTCAAAGGCAGTAAGCGATCTTCAATGTTTTGAAGTTTGTAGTAGTCTTGCAGCCTTGACAACCCAAAATCACTGATCTTCACAAGATCCTCGCTCATCACCAGAATATTTCTCGCCGCCAGATCTCTGTGCAGAAGTGAATTTTTTTCCTACGCATAAAATGCTTATGTTACTAAAACAAATACTCTGAGTTACGGTGGCTCGAGTCAGCATTTTTGAAGGTACACCTTACATCGATATCTTTAAATCTCTTAGACTTAAAAACAAATTTATCTTTATTGTAAAACCATTATAACAAGTGTATTACACATAGACTGAACTTCATTATGATATTATGTTTTGGGCGATCACAATAAATATCACGTGAAAATGACGTCACAAAGGTTTCAGCTCTAAATTGAATTGCAGCCCTTATCGGCATTTTCTTTAGAAATGCTTGACGCTACCTATACTTTAGGTACTTGTCTGCTGTTCTGCGAAGTCTTTAAGAGGAATTTCGAGATATCTTGGAATTTCTACAAAAAGGGCATAAATTAGCACGAACTGAAGACTGGACTTAATGCAGAAAAAAATTGCTACTTTTTGGATGTTTCCGAAACGTTTTTGTCCCTCATTCATTTTGTAAATGGCCCTCATACACTCTACAACCGGCTAACATCCAAAAAGTAGCAAATTGTTTCTCTTGCATTATTTGTGCCCTTTTTGTAGAAATTCCAAGATATCTCGAAATTCCTCTGATACCGTAAAATCCCGAAAATAAGCCCCTCCATGTATAAGCCCCTCCAAATATAAGCCCTCCCAAACCGGTAACGCAATAAACCCTCCCTTAAATCGCCCCTCCAAATAAAAGCCCCCTGGGGCTTGTACTTGGAAAATTGCCCTTAAATACAAAGTAAAACAAAGCAACTATAAGGCAAGCTAAATCCATTTTGAAACTCAAATTTCACTCCGTAGATAAGCCCCTCCAAAAAAAAGCCACTCAAAAAGGGCCTTTGAAAAATATAAGCCTTGGCACCCAAAGTAAAGATAGCGTCAAGCATTTCTAAAGAAAATGCCCATAAGGGCTGCAATTCAATTTAGAGCTAGAACTATTGTAACGTCATTGTCGCGTTATATTTATTCCGATCTTCCCCCAAAAAATATCATAATAAAGGTCACACAGTAATTTTTAGGGAGTTATTATAACTCCAAAAATGGAGTAAAAATTTTAGGTACAGGATAACCCCTTTTTGGGGGTTACTTTAACTCCTAATTTAACTCCAAATTTGGGGTTATTTTTACTCCTGAAAAAGAGTTCTTTTTACTCCCAGTCTGGAGTTAAAATAACTCCGAAAATGGGGTTATTTTTACTCCTTACATGGGTTGTTTTTACTCTTTTTGGATTTACTTTAACTCTGAAAGTGGAGTAAAAATTGTAGGTACAGGATAACTCCTTTTTTGGGGTTATTTTAACTCCTCGATATTTGGGGTCATTTTTACTCCTGAAAGAGAGTTCTTTAAAATCCTTTTTGGAGTTAAAATAACTCCCTAAAAAATAACTCCATTAAGGAGTTAAATTAACCCCACTAGAGGAGTTATTACTCCTTGAAAATTACTGTGCAGTCTTTGTGTATAATGGTTTTACAATAAAGATAAATTTGTTAAAGTCTAAGAGATTCAAAGATGGAAGGTGTACCTAAAAAAATACTGGGTCGAGTCACCTTAAATATAAACACGGGTAGGGAACTAGTACGGGTATCACTATACTGAAATTTATATCAGTATTAGGCCCAGTTCAAACGTCAAACTTTTCGTATTCCGAACTTAATAATAATAATAAAACTTTAATGGCTGTCACAATAATTGATTGACCCATTAGTTTACATTGTGGGCCCAGACTTGGTAAGATTTAAGTTCGAAGGTTGATTCAGACGTCGAACTTAATTAGTCCGACTCGATTTATTTTTACGATGTACAATGGTCTGCAATGCTTACCAGTGAAAATAAATTATGGTAATGTTTGCATAGGCTCAACAAAGTTCGACGTTTGAAACTAAGTCGCTCCACAGTCGCAATTCCCATGTGGACATCTCGACCTTGATTCATGGGTCGACCCAAATTAAGTTGTCAGTTGATTCAAACGTCGATTAGGATTAGGTTCGGCGCAGGAAAATTTCGACGTTTGAACTGGGCCTTAGCATGTGGCAACACGTGCTCATCACTAATGTTTTCTTCTACCCTCTCGTGTTCTCAGACGGCCATCGTATTCAATGCTGAAATAATACTTTCCATGGGTACGATTTATATTTGAGTGAACTAAAAAAATCCAGTCGTACCAAGTATTGCATTCCCTCGCAGATCTGTTTACAGAATTCCAGAAGTTGCCTTTTTCCGAGAATGTCCTAAAAGGTAAAAGATATACTTTTTAAAAACCAGTAGAAGACACGAAAAAACAAACGAAAGACTTTAAGGGAAGCGATCTTTAAGGAAAAAAATCAATTAAATGAAAAAAAAAAAAAACGACAACAACAACAACGACTTCTTTTCACGAGGTCTCTTAGACTTACAAAATCGTTTTATGTTCTTAATTTTAGCTATAAAATGACGTATTCCCCCCCCCCCAAAGAAATCCTAATACTTCGTTACCGCATTGTTCAGATTTCGTGACAAAGTTCGATCGACCCGTACAGCTTGGGCTACCTGTAGTTAAACAGGCAAGTTAATATTGAACAGTTAGCCCATCCGGGACGGGAAAAAGAGAGAGCGCCAAGAAACGAGCATAGGCCCCACCGGACTTGAATAACATAACCTGTAAACTAATTCAAGTGTCAAGCCAATAAGGTTTCTTAGCTATACAGGGTTTGCTCAGCCTGACGTAAAAAAATGCAATGTGATGACATTCTCAGGAAGATCAAGCTTAACATGGAAAGATCAGGACTTCGAACAACTGTCGTAAGAACAAGAAACGGAATGTTGGAAAGAGAAGTGTAAGCTAAAGATGGGGGAACTGCCCTTGCCCTTTAAAAGAATAAAGGGCCTCACGTCAATTTAGACAATCCTCCACGGATGCTTTATCTCAAGGTCAACTTAAAACAATTTTCACTTGTAGTAAAACCGAAAGGGCTACGCCAAAACCAATTTACTGGTGATTAAGAGGTAAATATTGACATCCACGATATACTTTCTTCTAAGAAAAAAACGCACCATTCTTTTAAGGCAATTGAGTTCAAGTCAAAAATTGAAGAATGTCAAAGTACAGGGGTAAAACGAAGTTTCACATTCATTGAACTGTATTAAAGGAGCTGTGTCACAAAATTCAGCCAAATTAGGTAATTACAAAATAATGCCCGTTAAATTAAGAGAAACATAAAAATAACCGCTCAAAACATTAAAGAAAGGTTAAAATAACACAACAGAAACAACAGATGCCACGGATGGGCAAAACCGAAGAAGATTGAAACGGACTGAAATTATGGTTTTTTGAAAACTGTTCAGCGTAACAGTTTTTCAAAGTTGATTCGTGTTGCTTGCAACTTCAAAAATTATGCTCGGGAGACATATTTGTTTGTCTCAGATCTCTGATTTTGTCATTTACATGTAATTTCATTGCTTACTTTAAGTTCCATAGCGATTGAGGGCGATTAATAGGCAAAATTAAACAAAATGAACTGAACTGTCGTAAAACAGCCCCTTTAACTTATCTTTATCATTCACCATTAGTTGTTATAACATAGCGCGCGTGCTTGCCCTATATAAGTCCTATTGAGCCGCTATGAACAAAATCTTTATTTACGCACGCCCGTGCGTAAATAAGATGACGTGAGCATTTTTTTTTTCACCTGGGTGCAAAGTTGTCGTCTTTTAAGCTGTAGTACCCTTTCCCTTCTCTTTAGAATATGGAAGAAACCAGCCAAGAACTGCCCAATTTTTCTATCGGCATTGACCTTTTAGATCCTGATCCAACCAGCAGCAAAAATAAAGCCGAATTAAAATAAAAAATCTCGCAAGTTGCGCGCCGTTCGCAAATTTGTCGAAGACCAGCTGCAGCAAATTTTGGCCGAAAGACATTCACTGGGAACAGAACAGACACCAACTGGTCATCAACAACATTTAAAGGCAAAATTTCCGTTTTTATTGCTGTTTTTAAATTTGTTATCACACTTTTGTTTTCTCCGGACAATCCGACTGAAGCAGGAAAATTTCTATCGCAATAACAACACAAATTTCACAAGAAGACATAAATTTATTACTCACAAAAACAACTGCTGCCAGGTCTCCTCAAGAAGCCGTAATGACCAGCCAATGTTCGTAAATGAATATAAGTTTAAAGAAGGATGACAGTCGTCTTCACTAAACTGAACATGTTTTCTGGATTTCGCCGAGCAAAACGTAAATATCTTTTCAGCAAATCCAAATCATACTCCACGACTTCTTATGAACATGTTAGTTTTAACTTTAGGTGAACTTTAAGACTCTTTTACCTTTGTTTCTGCTTAGTTTCCATTGATCGTTAACGAATAAAGAAGCAAATTTTCTTTCTCACCTTTACAGAAAGGATATTTTCATTCAAACTAGACGATTGTGGCGTGTTCATAATCAGCCAATAGAACCGTTTGTTATTGAGTCACACGTTAAGAGAATTTTGCAGTTAATAAAAAAGCATGCATTTTTGTGAGCTATGTTAGAAAAGAATTTGCTCATGCTTTTAGCTGTGCGTATATCGAGTTATGGATGCACTTGGGAAGTTTGGAGAGCACTCAAGAAGCTAGAGTTGCACTCGGCTATCGCCTCGTGCAACTCTTACGCATCTTTCGTGCTCTCCAAACTTCCCGCGTGCATCCATAACTCGATATACGCACGCTAAGCATGAACAAATTCTTAATTCTATCATTGTGTCGTACTTATGTAATATTTTATAATTTAATACTTCCTGCGCCACCGCAACTTAAATTTCGAAAAAAGTATTCATTTTATTTGGTTAATAAGCTTACAATCCAATAAGTATTACCTTGTTTTTCGGCAAATAATCGCGGAGAGCACCTTGAGAAGCAAGCTCAGTTATCAGCATAAGTCTTTCATCCGCATCTACCATAAGTCAACACATATTATTAACGCTGAGGTATGAAAGTACCAAAATCAGTGTAGGCAGTGGTCAAAACGGTCGGACTGCCATTTATGAACCTCTGGTGCAATTTACAATTTGCAATTTGTAGTTTCTTTTCTTTTTCTTCTGGTGCTTTAGTTTTTCCTACTCCTCAAATGCCAATAGTCAAATTCCGTTTCCATGAGGAGAGCGGGAACTTACCGAAGCGCTCATTTCGTAGGTTAACAAATTGCGAAAGATTACGTCAGAGATGTCCTAAAACAGGGAAGCACACATTTTTGAACCAATGACTGCTCTGACATGCATAAAGGCACCATCAATGAATACTTTTATCATAAAAACGGGAGCAACATTTATGACCAAAAACTGCAAGCAAGTTTATCTTTACAAATTAAAAATTTAAAAGAAGCACTTTAATACCTTTGCATACCCCACGAAGTTTTATGACGTATTTGCATTGCGGTTTAGACGCTAACTCAACCATGTTTTCTACTTCTTTAACAAAGTCACTGGAACTCTGTTTTGACGCATTCCGTTTTAGCACTTTTACTGCCACGTCTTCTCTCTAAAATGAAAACAACAGACTTCTTGAAGGTTCAGAGAGAGTAGATGTGGATGACATGACACTGAACTATAGGAGCGCTGGACGTCCACTTGTTTACAATTTCCTTCCTCTTTAAAAGCTTAATACACACTTACGACGTAAGCATGAAAGCGAGGTCTATGGACCACATCGCGGTCAAATTGTATATAAAATGGCAGAAGCGCACCTTAAAAACTACGACAAAAAATAGTTCTCACAAATGCTGCGCTGCTGCACTACTGCGCTTTGTAATAATCGTTCCGATAATATGAAAGACTTAACGTTTTTATGTTTTTCCGAAGGATCCTTGCCGAAGGTTAGTTTCTCTTCCGTCCACTTTCCAACGCACGTTCATTTAAAACAACTGCTCCAGGAATATCTTTTGGTATTAATTTTTTTATCTCTTAATCACAAATCGTACTTGTTTTCACCAACCAATCTACTTTTTTGAAGTTTGCGGGAAATCTGGTGGGTCTTAGGCCTCGCTTTCATGCTTACGTCAAAAGTGTGTATGCATAAGTGGATGAGGCTCTTTTTAAAGCTATTTATACGCTCACCATTTTAAAAACATCAGGGTAACGAGTTCCAAAGTTTAGCCGCTCTTAAGCTAAAAGATTGTTCCACTGAGCTTTTTTTCTTAAAGCAAGGCCAGTACAAGTTTAAGGACCTATGTTGGCTATTTCTATCACTCACGTCTGAGTTCTTCTTGTAGGATGGGCTGTGACCATTGATAAATTTATACAAATGGATAGCCTTACCTATTGTAATCATCATCATCATTATTTTTGTTCTAACCTTAGGATTTTTCCATTTGTCCGTGTACACCATACGTGCGTGCCTCACTTCTCCAAATTGTCCCTGCGAAATGTGTTCAAAACCTTACATGTCTGTCATACAAGCAGGCCTACAGTTTTATCCCGAAATTCATCTACTGCTAAGGATTAAAACGAAAATCAGTACATCTACAGTCAACTTTTGAACCCGTTAAAAAATAAAGGCCTCTATGACCCAACTCGTGAATCTATGAAAGATTTTAATTATCTTTTTGAAAGATGGCACTTTACAGGTTGGTGGGTGGGAGGGAGAGAAGGAAATTCCACTTAATTTGGGATAGCAATGTCCTGCAACGGTTCTTAAGGAAAAATGTTGATTATAATAGCACTTTAAGGTGTGGGTCTCATGTCATTTAGCCGTTTAATGAGATAAACTGTTTAGATTAAGCTAGTTAGAGAGTTTGCAACTTCAAACCTTACATCGTACACTTTTAGGTCAAACAACTTGTTTGGGGTTAAATATGACACGTTGCTAAGGATTCAGGGTCAGCTTTTAGTCAATATTGTTTTCCAAAATGCTAAATGAAATAATTACACAAATATCTTACCTGGCCAAGATGTTTTAACAACTGCAGTTGTTCAAATGGAATTTTCAAGTGAGGAGGAATCTTGCTCATATCTAGTTGTACGACTGGCGTTTCTTCACATGGAGATGATGAGCCTGGTGTCAAGATTAAATAAAACATACATCAGCATTAATGACATAAATAAAAATCAAACAGGATGTTTTACTCCAATATCCTAACATCGAAGAGTGGGTGGATAAAAAGTGTCGCTGAAGAGTCGTTTCGAGGTGTCTTGATACCTAGCGAAATAAAATTATTTTTCTAGTGTTGAATATACTGTTATGTTTTAACAGTATTCATGTTCCATAAGTAACACATCCTTGAGCATTAAGGGGAAGCTGGAAAGGGAGAGTTCCTGGTCACATTCTCGCACCGGACAAGTTCCAGAGAGAAATACTGGTCAAAATGTTTTAAGAGTGAAATGTTAAACGCAGTCAAGTGCATACCAGTTGTAGATTTTCTCCTAAAAATTTTGTCCACTGTTTCACAGCTGGGCCAGACTCCATCAGAGGATGAGGAGCAGTCAAGAGAGGTTTCTGGTTCTGGTTCTGGTTCTACAGGCCGAGGAGGTGGACGATATCCACGTGCCACTAATCGTCTGTTGTTAGCGGGCTTTGGCTCACTTGGAACCTCTGGTAAAGGCCGCGTAATTTCTGTGAAAATAAATCCCAGCGAAAAATGTAATAATCAGAAGTGGTGTTCGGCTGACAGGTAGAAGATACGTTCCGCTTAAAAGCTGTCCACATCTTCCTGATGGGCGCGTTTATTCAGGGTGGTTGTTCTAGCACAGGGAACTAGACTACTACTCACAATTTTTTATCCTATCCGCATGGTACTGCTCCATCACTTGAGCTTACAACGATTGGTACGATTAAATGCTTTGTGACGTACTCCCTAAAAACATTCGATTTATCTAGAAAGTCTATGAAAGTTTTCCTGTCGCGGAAATAAATTCTTTAGTTTTACCTTGAAGACGTCCATGCTCATCAGCTTTGAAGGAATAAGGAGAAGGATTGGGCACCACGTTTTCTACGATATCTCCGTCACCCTCCTGATCATTGTCTTGAGACAAACCACCTTCACTGAAAGCATCATTAAGATGATTTGAACTTATTGCTTGGCTTTGGGACTGGTTATCTTTGAAAAAAAGTAGTTCGGTTGATTTTGGGCACTCCTTTGAAAGGTTATTCAAGGGGAACACCTTCATTTCAAAATTCTCGTGCCCGCCTTCAATCATCAAGATGGTAGAATTTGGGAAATCAACCTTACCCGACGGAAACCTCACAGGCCCACATGGCAGGATCATCTCATTGTCCACGCCGTCATGAGCTTCAAACTGTTCATCGACATCCAAAGCATCTGCACTGTTTTCCAGGACAGACGTACCACATTCAGACGTGGCTATAGTAGAAGCAACGCTATCTGGTTTGATATTGGACAACAACTCCTCGAAACAAGGCATATCAGAAGTGGGTAGACTCTCTTCTAGCAAGTAGTTTCTAGATTCATGATCGTTCATATCTACTTCTTCCCTGCCAGCGAGGCTCATGAACAATGAGGTTTCATCAACATTTATTTGCGAAGGTGTTACTTCATTTTGATGCGACTGTGAGTCATCTTCCAATACCAATTCCTGTTCCTCTGCTGGGTCAAGGCCAAATTCAAGATGGGTAAATGCAGGCAGAGAGAGGTTTAATGCACTTTCACCATCATTGTCTATTGCCATTCTGTTGAATCCAGAATGGAAAATATCACCCAGACTTGATTCGGCGTCGTCTCGAGAAGACGCATCTTCGTTGTCGCTGCTATCCTGTAAGTCCGTAATTACCGGAAATGACTCTTCTCTACCAGAACAGTCCTCTGTATCATAGAGAAGCGGAGGCAGGTCCATGGATTGCACCCCATTGGGAGGACGAAGATTTGAAAATGACCCCAGCAGTCCATCCGATGATGTGCAGCACAATCCAGGTGATCCATTGGTCTGTTCGGTGTCTCTTTGAGACAAAGACCATTCCATATCGTGTGAAGAAGATGAAACTGAAGATGAAGAACTGACCTTTCTGCCTTCTATTTCTCGCAAAGAACGGTATGGTGAGGCATCAAGAGCACTGGAGACATCAGTTGCGTTGGGAGCCACAGATAAGGGCTCCTTAGCTTCAGCATGTTCGAACTTATCTGATGACATACTACTTCGCGAAAGCATCACATATGACCCGGAACTCAATTTCCGTAAATCTTCTGTAGGATGTACCGCCTCACATGGTTGACTGAAGGAAGTTGTTGTCTCAAACTTGTTATCCACTGAATCATATTCAGACAAATGCGCGTTTATTTCTGCACCAGAAAGATCACCATGTCCGGTGGCAACATTTGCCGGTAATTCACTCCAGCGGGCATTACTGTTATCGATGTTGCTTCCATACGTACCCTCTAGGACATCACCAGCAAAACTAGTTGGGGGCATCAAAGTTCTGTTTACCAGTCCGGCAAGACACTGCATTGCCATGGCCTCTGTGGTCTGTTGCTCATCATCATCTCCACCACTGGTATCTCCGCTATCATTCAACTCTTCAACATTCGTATCCACAGAAATCCCCGTACTGCTGCCGAACATCTTTAACTCCAGTTGTGGTAGTAGTGGTGCACAAGGCAGCTTGCTATCGATTCTGTTCCTTGAAGATGACGTTGGTGGTTCGAAAAATCTTACCTCTCGCTGTCTTCTCTCAGGCTGTCTAGCAGTTAGTTCCGAATCCTCACATGGCTCTTCATTGCTTGCCTCAATGGCTGGAGGGCATGAACTAGCTCTAGTGACGCTTACTTTCCTTGGTGTTAGCGCATTAACTGGGTCCCTTGACGGCAAAGTATCGTTAGTGAATAACCCAGGATGGGAGAATGTCTTCGAGAGGCTTTCCTTTCTTAAAATAGTACAGTTAAAGCTAGCACTATTGGATATGTACGTGATGCCTGGAAGTGTTATGTCGTTGGAGCTACTGGAATCGTCGGGCAGTGGGGCTCCAGGGAGACAGGAGTAGTCCACATTAGAGGCCTTGAATAACAAAATAAACGAACATTAGTTTCTGATGCAAAAAATACAGTAGGTTAAATTTGGCACAGAAGCCGCCAATAAATACAGTAATCATACCAGGTACACGTCTCACAACAAAAACAGGCTGTGTAGACTTTGTAGTAAACATTGAAAACCTTGCCAGTTATTTTTACACAGTCAAACTCGTTAAAATTACAATTTTGCTAACTAAGAATTATTTAGTATCTCAGGTAGAAAACAACATGAAGATTTAGAAAATACAAGAATACCTCAGAATCAGCTCGATGTTTCTGCAATTCCAAATCGCTTTCACGAGGCAGTATTGGATTCTCCCAGTCCTCCAGTTCGTTTATGTTAGGTATAAGGAGACCCTCCTCGGCTTCCTCCTCAGAAACTATTAATGAACAAGAAAGAAAAGATAAGAGAGGGAGGAGAGATCCATCAATCATACAAACATCTGTAAATCTTCCACTTATAAACCCACATTTTCTTCCTTCAGGTAGCATAGTGCTGGCATCGATTTTCCGATAAGCCCAGTTTAAGTTTCTGCCTACGACACTGAACAGGGAAGTGATACCGAAAGCCTTGTAACTTATTTTAGAATGTTATTCTAGTAGGAGGAAACAGAGACTCTGGTATCTTTCGAAAAAGGTCAAAAACGCTATGTATTATAGGGTGAGAAATCAATGCAATTCTTTCCTTGACTTTTAGGCTTTCTCCAAAACTTTCTTTTGAACGAGAAGTCGATTCAGGCTGTTTTTCACTTCTAGTTAGCCTTTCTGCTGGACATTCATCAGATTTTGTTCCCTAGGACATTTTTGAAGAAAGGCCTAGAACAGTGAAAGCTATAACCGAAAGTGGTACAAGTCAGGATATGCGTTTCCCTTTGTTTTTCGAGTCAAACGGGCTTGGTTTATCTCTGAAGGATCGCTCTCTCTTATTCAAAGTGTTATGAGGTCACAAGAGGTACAAAGATCAACGTCCTACATTGCGCCTTATGGAGCTCTATGAGGCAATAGGCTAACATGTAAACTATATAGTTCGTCGTCCCAAAAGAGTTGCGCCCAAGCAAATAGCTGTACAGTTGCAAGCGTGTCAAGGACAGAGGTTCCATTTGAGTGGTCAGGATACTTAAGGTGTCCAAAGGGTTAAAGGATTGTTCAGCAAAACAAAACAGAAGTCTTGATTTTAAAAGACGTTAACAAATACGACGTACCTAATTCCGGTGACCATAGGTTTACCACCATATCCCGGAAGTCTGGACGGTCCTGAGAAGACAAGAAAATATAAAAATTATTTGCTATAAAGGAATTGCTTCTAAGACCATTTATTTATAAAATGGACTTAACATTCTCGATGCAGTTAATAAGAAATGTTGATGCCCAACAGACGCCCATTGGATAGCAAAAGTACAATTTACTTTTGCGAGTAAAAAAACTACTATTGCGAGTATCAGCCCACGAAAGGTAACAGAGGAACTCCTTCATTTCGAAATTCTCGTGTCCGTTTTCAATCGTCTTCCCCTTGAGAAGAGGACAACGATCAATCGGCTTGTGCCACGACTTAAGAATCAGCCGTAATAACTGATTTTAATTTTTCTTTGACATGATTTGTATCTCACTAGCCATGACTTGTAAATCAATTTTCATCCATTTATTTCAATAAAAGCAAATGGCATCACTTCTCACTATAGCAGACAACCTCGAACCGTGCCTTCGTCGTATAAAATTTGCGGCAAAGATGAAAGACGAAAAAGCTAACCCCTTTTGATCAAATTATTTTAAGGTTTAAACTCCAAGCTTTATATAATGTAAAATAACTATAATTTACTTTTACCGGTATCACTTGTAATAATAATAATAATAATAATAATAATAATAATTGCCCCCGCAGGGATTTCGCCCAGAGGCGAAATCCCGAGGAGGCACCCTAGTAACTCGCGCGTATATTAAGGACAGTACTTACAGTTCAAATATACAGTCAGTATACTAGAAACAATCTCGATTTGCTCGAATCGAATCGGTAGGTAATGATGACGTTTCTATTGTTTGCGCCCGCAAGTACGAAATGGTTAGGATGACGTAAAGACAGAAAATCCCGAAGGGACCGCTCAGGTAGAATTTGTGACATTTTTGTGCATTCATACTTCGATACTCTTTTGCGTTAGGCAGTGACATTCTGTGGAGCAGTTGTTTTGAAAGTTACGGACCAAAAGACACTCGTTAAGCGCAGATGAGGTTATGAGGTGCGTTTAACTGTGTATATACGAACACTTGGAGAGTTTTCCAGACACGAGTTCACAAATCTTTGATTTATATTGGAACCCTTGCCAGACACTCTTTCTCTCTCTTTGACCGGAACAAGACTCAGCCCCAAACAAGCAAGACGAGTGAACAACGGCTAGCTTATCACTAGCAGATTGATGGAGAATTACAGAAATTCGCCGACAATCAGATTCTGTGCTGACTTATTCCCTGCTTACAGAGACTAGAATGCGCGAGCGTGAATCGATCAAACGTCCTTTTAATTTCTAAGGCTTACTTTCCGGCACATAAAATGAACTGAATGTAAAAAGTGAAAGAGAAATAGCGAAAAACTCAACTTCTAATTAAATCTTTTCTTATGGTTTAGAATAAACTTTTCTCGAAACTGAGAATTTTTTGGTCAAAGCCGTGTAAATCGACCTGAAACTGTGCATGGAACCTTGCGTTTCCTGTATTTATCTCACCTATTGTACGGAATATGATTGTGTGAAAATCTTCCTTATGAATCGGTATATTTCAAAGACCTACACAACCAGCAAGAATACTATTGACCGACCATATACAGAACGGGGGCAGCTTTAATGTCAACTATTACTAGTAATAATAATAATAATAATAATAATAATAATAATAATAATAATAATGCAAGTAGCTCTGCGAGGCGGCTATGGAATCTCTTGCATTCATCGGCCATTCCACTAATAATAATAATAATAATAATAATAATAATAATAACAATAATAATAAGTAATGGTAACAGGACTGAGTGGAGTCCAATTCGGTCTATAATCATAGAAGTGATCAACAATCGGACGACCGCGTAGCGGAAGTCCGATTTGTTTAATCACGAGTATGATTACAGACCGAATTGGGCGGCACGAAGTTCTGTTACCAGTTAATCATAACTTTAACAAAATTTGTGATACAAAAGGCTCTTTTCTCAAATCATAACACAAGAAATTCCAAGACCTCTTTTTTGCCAGCAGTAAAAAAAAGCCATTGAAGCGCGCGCACGATGGCGCGCACTGTCCAGTTACTTAGGCATGAGGCGTACTGTTCTACTAAGGCTGAAATCAGGGCAGTTGATAGCCAATCACATTTCAAAATTTTGTTATAGCTATGATTATAACAATAATGACAGTCCTTTAATAGGGGAACACAAATGACTCTTTAAACAGTAATTTACATTGTGGCCCAAAAGAAAAGCGAAAAAACTGAAAAACTTAAAATATATAATGGTATCCAGTAAAGTAGAGTAAGATGTGCAAAAATACAGGAAAAGGATACGTACAAATGCACCTCGTTGAATAAAAAGAACGATATATACAAATATTATATATAGAATTCAAAAATGTTAAAAAGTTCTAGCTCTTTAAGAATGAAATGATCTATCTTTGACATATTGTCCAACATGGCGTTCGTTAAAAAGTTCCAAAGGTGAATGCCGCTTGCGTGAAACTTTCGAAGACCAGAGCTTGACTGGTATTTGAGCACTTCCAAAACATTCTTAACTAAGGATCTTGTATCCTATATAGGTATGACTGTTGTGGACATAGTCCACCGTTGAACCTCTAGTATCCGGACATACGCTATTTCCGTTTGCAATTTTTGACATCATACATAATTTCATAATTACACTAGTTAGCCGCTAGTTATCAGAGTTCTGGCAGACAAAAGTATCAGTAGATCACTGTCGTATTAGGTGGCCACTCAGCCGCCGAATAGAACTTATATTCTATACATTAGAAATCAAATGAAAACCTGTGGTTCTGCTGAGCAGCAACGTGTTATCAGTTCTTGAACTTTCACTGGGACATTCGGTCTGTGAAATGAAGAGAAAGTTTGAGTATTCTTTTTCTAATTCTTACATATCCTTGGTTGAAATTATATTTTCCTTTGTTTACAAATTACCCAAATCAGCATAAAGCTATGGAAATAAATTTAAACCGAGGAGAAAAATTGAACCACATCATCTATGTCAACCAAAGAAGGGGAAAGGCACTAGACTTTTGTCCATTATGATTTCCTGGGAGATATTCTAAGAGAGATATTGCCATACTAGATGACCCGGTGACAAGTCCGACGAAAACAACTTTCAGAAGCGCGTGAATAGTTAGCCTGAGAAAACCAGCCGTTATTTCGCGACGTCACCCCTAGTTTCCCCCCGAAACGAGGTCTGAGAATCGAGCGCAGACATTCCATACTGATGACGCGTCACTACCCAGATATAGGTAGTGTTTCTTAGTGGATGACAATTTGCATTGGGTAGTGACGCGTCATCAGTATGGAATTTCCGCACTCGATTCTCAGACGTCATTTCGTCGGGGAACCAGTGGTGTCGTAGCGAAATAACGGCCGTTTTCTCAGGCTTGCGAATAGTGTTTTCTAGACCTGCTTTGTGGCAATAAATTTATCCTGATTTTAGAACAAACATTCCGTTGGGGTTAACGATTTCTTTTGCGCGAAATGTAACAGGATACGCATAGCTAAGCAAGTCATCTTTTAATTTGGTTTCCATGCTGCATTCCAAAAGGAGGAAACAAGCCCTTGGGCCTACATTTGTTACAATGTTTCTCTGACCTGTGTGGATTAAGATACTGCCCTTGCAAGTACCGGCTCAAAACCTAAAATTAAAAAAAAAAAATCGCACCAATTAGGGCCTCGTAAATACGGTACCTGTATTTTCCGAAGATAGCCTACACAAGTTGTTACATAAATGGTCAGCTATTTAGGTTCTTAAATAAGTTCTTATTTTCTGATGGAAAAATACGTTGTAGCTAAGAGTATTTAGTGGTATTCAACTTATTTCTTATATAAAATCTGCATACCAAATTGGCATTTATGTAAAAATGAATATAAGAAGAACTGAAGCATTGTCCACATGAATTTTGAATTCCTCCTTCAGAACATAGCATACATGTATTGTAATACCTTAACCTTATTTGCCCAAGTATACAGAAAGTTTTTATAGATTTTAGAAAATGGGAACCTGTGTCGAATTTTGTGCTAAAGACGTTCAAGACGGGGCTTAACTGGCAAATGTTAGCCTAACAGGTTCTTAAATACCAGGTTCTTCCTCGCGGGTTTTTACTGTAGTCCAATATGACACAAAAAAAACTCGGTTGCAGGTTTTGTAATCCACATCGCGGCTACCCTGCAACTAGCAGAGTGCATGCTGAACGGTCCTGATTGTGAAGAACCAAATAAAACTTTTTATATACCACTTTGTTGCCTTTTATTGTAATCTGTAAAGTGGTTGTAAATCAGTTGCAATAATACTCAAAATGAAAACAAGGAATCGTTCAAAGAAAACATTACACAGCTACCAATCGAACACGCTAAGTTCTCTGGCTAGCTAGGTAAGCAAGGGATGGTTTTTTACTCAACAGGCAGATAAGGCAAGGATTAGTTTGTCCTCCCAAAATTTTCACAAGAGTCTTCATAACACTATAAACATTCAATATGGTTTCAACTGTTTATATTAAATACAATCATGGACAAAAGTCCTTGGGACAGTAAAGAAGTATTCATATTTTTCTGTAATTTCTGGGTTCCCTCAAAAAGAAGAGCATCGTTGTAGTTCTCCCCACCGTATACAAAGTTGAAACTCGGAATAAATTCTGGATACGCGCGTCCAATGCGTTAATTGTGGGGTGAGGGGAGGGGTTGGGCATGTGTGAATTGGAAAACGCCCCATACTCGCTGCATTTGAAATGCAAAAGGGTGCCAAGACTTTAGTCCATGACTGTCGCTATGACGAAAAAATGTTCACCTCTTCTTTTGTTAACACTCGGTCTTCCAAGTTGCAATGAAAGGGCTTTTTCATCACAAACATCTCCCAGACAGTCACACCAAATGCCCAAACGTCGCTTTTCTTGACGAAAGAATGCGACTGGAGCGACAGAGGTGAAAACCAACAGTGGCTGAACCTAACCGGGACGTAAACAAACTCAAATGTTAGCAAAATCAAACACGATAAATATGCTGTAATAAACATTGAACTATAAAGCCACTGAAAATGGGATGGGTTTCCTGACGCTATGCAAATGTCATATTTTATCTGATGTCTGAAAGAAGAAATCCAAGAGGCCCAGTTTGAAAATATAAATACGTAAGTTTGGCCGCTTTACCCATTTTCCTTTCTGGAGGCATAGAAGCTCTGTTTGTTCTTCACCAAGTCCAACAATCCAGAGTCACTGATCTTGACACAGTCTTCACTGGCCACCAACACATTGTGCGCACTAAGACGTCCGTGAACGCAGTCCTAAAGGTTAATAAATGCAACGGCAACAACTTTTGAAAGAGGCTGAGTGTGATGTGAAGAATTATGCGGAGCGAGGAGGATTTTATACACCTCGGTCCATGATTTTGCACATCGTACGAAAGCCGAATTAATTGTTTTACTATTCCTTCAAAATATCTCTAGGTTCTTAGTCAAACTTGTTTTCTCGTAGACATTCCTCGAACATTTTTTGTTTCTCGGCACGGTATCAACATAAACCAAAAGCTTTTTTTTTCTTGCGAATACACCTTAAAAAGTAGATGACACCCGGCGAGCAAAATTCATTCTTCCTATTATTGCATTCCGTTCGCTCAGTTTTCGTTAGAAATTCGGCTATTTCGTCTTTTGACAGCGGTGTACACCATTTTTGTTTTGCTCACTCAGCCATAAACAGCTAGGCTGCTTAACAATATTCCATCGAATGGTATGTTGAATTCATCTTCTAAATGTGGTAAGCGCAGATGATGATTTAGCCGGAGGACTAGAACCCATCAAAATGAATAACAAGCGGTGTTCAACGTTTTCAAAAGCTTTTATTTTTTACGTTACTTGATAACTGATGATAACTGTAAGCAGCACGTGATTTTCGATAGGTGATCAAACAGTTTTCAGAAATTTTACACGAGAGTTGCCCTGTTGGTCTCCACAGAACATAAAGGAATAAGTGACACGGACCTTTGACTCTAATAATTACATCACAAACGAGGTAACGAAAGGCCAGTAACCGCGAATAAAAGTGTCATTGCACTCGCCCAGAGAATCATATCCAAGCTACTAACGATACGAAACCTGGACTCAAGCTTTTGGCTTTGTCATCCAATTCACTGGCCTCTTGACAATTTTACGCCTTTGTTTTGCCTGTATTTTTCTTTACTTGTAGGTCAAAAATTACGGTTTAATGAACGGTTGGCCTCTATTGCCCAATGATAACTTACCTTGCTGTGCAAGAACATCATTCCCTCCGCTATCTGTGCAGCATAGGAGATCACTCTTCCTTTAGTAATTCCTTTCTCTTTTCCACTTTGAATTAGAGTTCAGAAATACAGCTTTGATCATTTCAAATATTTCATATTATTTACAGATTAAGACACCGAAGGACGCTGCCAAACTAAGTTTCTGCTTCATGTTTACGGTCACCACAGGGTCAGATACCACAGGTTTACCACGGGCTCAAGGTACCACAGGCTTACAACAGGCTTAATGGCATGGAGAGCATTTATCAAGAATAAGCCAATTTTGACAAAGGAAGTTAAACTCAGTCCAATACATGTCCAAAGCCGCCTCACGGACCGTTATGGTTACAATCGACGACAAACATGTTGACACACTGTCGTCAAAGATCAAAACAGTCTGAACCCCTTTCCTCTACCGCTCCATTCAAAGCTGGGTTGTTTGTTGTTTATCACAGGTAGTTTAAACAGCGGGACAACATTGATTAGAGGGAGTGGGGAGGAAATGATTCAATTTCACTTGAGAAATAGAAGGTGTGGGCGAAATGCGAGAAATGACTTCATCAAGGCAAAGTGTACTAACTAGTTTTGTCCTAGATTGTATTTTATATTAGAATTAGCAGGCCCACAACGTAAAAGAGCTCAAGCTACAAAGACGACGATGAAAGTAAACAACATAGCGGTTTTTTCAAATTTTTGTAGCATTAGGAAACAATATTTTGCACGTAGCAGTTGTTTATTGTTACTGCAGTGCCGCCGTCGTTGCTGCAAATTTCCCGTTGAAAACGGTCGCTGCCATTTTTAAGACACATGGAAAATTTTTGACGTGTTATTGAGAGTGTTTTTACTAAAAAGAAAGGAGATCGCGACCCAGGGTCGAACCCGAACCTTTCGTATCCTAATCTCTCTGCCTTATCACTACACCACCACACTGACCTGCCAAAAGTCCGAAAAAATTACGTACATAAACTAGCAAACTATCTTTCTTAACTGACACATCAATAGCAGGTGACCCTAGTCCTTTTCTTCACTTTTAACGTAAATTCAACTTGGGCTTCAAGGTCGTTCTTTTTAAGACTATTCGCAAACGTATTGTTTACTTCTTGTACCTTAATCCAGGGAATATATTACAACTATCATGACTAAAGGCTTGGTTACCAATGGTGGCATTGACCGTTAAAAATGGCAACGACCGTTTACAAAAGAGAAATAGGCATGGTTGCTTAAGCTCCCGGTCGCCGGATAAATGGACCGTACAACAGTCACTGAAGAACAATCACCTTTCCTTACGAATGTACTCATCCAAAGGCCCTTCTGCAGCGAACTCAAACACAAAGATTAAGGCCTTCTGATTTTCAGCAATTCCATGAAAAAGTATAAGATGTTGGTTCTTCAGTTCCAAGAAAGTACTCATCGCTTTTCGATACTCAACGAGTTTCTACAAGAAGGAACATAAACCCCGTTGACACAACTAGGAGTCAATTCGCATCATGAGATGCTCGCACTTCAGTGTGCGCACCCATTTACGAAGCGCTTTAAAAGTAAAAAGAAGTGTTGAATGCAATTGAGTAAGCGGTATTAATTTAACTATGCCAGTAACTGGCAAAACTAACACTGAAATTAATTAGAGTACAATGCCAGGAGAGTCCTTTGAAGTATGCATTGAAATTCTGACACAAAACCGCTCGGCTGGTGCGGCGTCCCAGTGATGCCTGCAGACGGCTTGATCAGCTTGCTTAAATGCTTAGCGGGCGTTATGTCAGCGATCGGATTTCGTGAGGAGGGTTATCAAGATTGTTTAGTTTTGCAATGCACTTGTAGTACAAGGTCTTGCAGCCACCACGATGTGGTTTGTCATTCATTGAATAACACCGTCGTAAATGCAGATGAAGTGTTTACGGAAGTTACGAATCAAAAACATTGGCCCTCATTGCTAAGATAATCTGTGCGCGTAACTCCCAGCAGGGAAGCAGTCTAGTGGGTGACGAAAGCTTTTAGTTTATTTCAGATTCAGGACTCGGAACCAACTTTGGAACTCTCCAAACGAACGCTTCACTGGAATGGTCAGAGTTTTACGATCTAGCAGCACGCTCAAAGCAGACGATTTAGGGCCTGTTTACATGGAGGTGGGGGATCCCATGTAGGTGAAGTAACCCGCTCAGGTGGGGTAACATGTCCATATAACCTCTCATTTTAACGTGAGATCACGTTTACATGTTAGGTGGGGTAACCCATCACACGTTACCTCACCTACCTGGGACTCCCTCACCTCTCGCGTACGACATGTTTTGTTCAAAAATAATCTTGTAAATTCAACATTTCTCAGCCTTGATAATGATGTTTGAAACATCGAAACGTCGAGTTACGTTTTTAAGTTCATTACTTCTTTAATCTTGTAAATACTTTGTTAATCGTGTTATCAACAAGAAATGTGAATTATTTGGCTTAAGATCAAAGTGAAAAATGGGTTACAGCGAGTTACCTCTCGTCCAACCGGCTTGACCAAAGCCCTTGAGCATACAGGCATCAAACCACCAGCACTGGAACACCACCACGAACCATTTCTTACCTCACCAAACTCACCCTAAAAAACACAAACTTCATTTTATATGCGTTATCATATCTTTATAGCACTTTGTTTATTTTAAGTAATTTGATTTTACTTGGTTATATTTATAGAGGGAAACACTTGACAGTGGTAAAAAAACACTAATAAATTCGTGGCTGATAAAATATGTTGCCGCCTGGTTTGCTCAGTTGGGAGAGCGCCGGTCTGCTGAGCGGGAGGTCGCGGGTTAAATAACTAAGAAGAAAGTGCTGCCTTTGTGTTGACATGTGCAAACGGTTAGACTTTCTAGTCTTCTCGGATAAGGACGAAAAACCGTAGGTACCGTCCCACAGCACTTCCATTTATCTGGTTCTTGTGGGGCGTAAAAGAACCCACACCACTGTTCGAAAAGAGAAAGAGACGTAGACCCTGGTGGTGTGGCCAACCTTTCCTGGCTGGGTGGGTTATCTGTAAGGAGAGAACTTATGATCCTCCTTCAGGTGTCATAATGGCTGCAATCATGCACAAACGTCTGGGGACACTTTTGCATTTCTGAGACATTTTCCAATTCACACATGTCCAACCCCTTCCCTCGCCCCACAAACAATGCTGGACGCGTGTATCTAGAATTTTTCCGAGTTTCAACTTTGTATAGGGTGGGGGAGGGAGAACTGTGAGATAATTTCGAAAAGGATCACAGAAAGATATGAATATTGCAATACTGTCCCAAGGACTTTTGTCCATGATTGCACCTGTAAACAGCGTATGTATGTAACTTGTTGTTTAAAAAGAACGTTTCTATAAGAGGAACGTCACGCTCAAACGAGTTGCCTTTGTAGTTCTTTAGTCGTTTTCTTTAACTCCCTATAAGGCAGTCATCTCTCTAAGATGGACATTCAGTGCTGGCCCCAGAGGTGTCTGTGTGTTAGACTACATTGACTGTACTTCTTGTCTATGCTTGAATCCTACACATGAGGGGTCTCCACGGTACACACGTCCGTAATCACTGTTGACATACAGTCAACTCTCACTTAACGGCCGGTCACCTTCCTAAAACGGATCCTTGGAGTTGGTCCCTGCTGTTAATCGGCCATATTCTCTGACTCTCTATGAGGCAGATACCTCTCTTCAATGGACAATTAGGCAAGTGCTTGTGGCGTCTATCTTAGACTCTACTAAGGGAGCAACGGATGACGCAATGGTGAGAGCACTCGTCCCCCACCAATGTGACCCGGGTACGAATCCTGGCGGCGACGCCATATTTGGGTGAGTTTGTCGTTGGTTCTCTCCCTTGCTCCGAGAGGTTTTGTTTTTGGTAGTCCGATTTTCCCCTCTTCTCAGGAACCATCACTTACGAATTCCAATTCGATCAGGAAAGGTAGATGAGAAACCACTATCTTGATGTGCTACCTCTAAATTGTCATATATTTATATCAGGAGACTATAAAGGGGACAGAGAGGGCATCCCCAATATACACCCTATCCCATAGGTAATTCGTCTCGAGTTATTTTTAGAATCGAGAAAAAGTTACCCCGCGCGAGGCGTGGATGTTTCGTGGAGGTTTCGCATGACCAAACGCCGTGCAAAACATGTCGGGCGAGAGGCAATGAAAGCGTAAAAAGATCGAGAGCATTACTGAATATTGAAGCGAAATGAGTCGGCGCTCACCTGGGAAAAAGGAATCGCTGGACTTTTTGACAACCCGTGAAATCAGTTTAACTCGAAGTTGTCGTAACCTCAGTGCTTTAATAAAATGAGAAATTTCGCCGGTCTATTGAAACAGGTCGTTTGTACAATTTAGGGAGTTTAAGATTCAAGGACGCGGACGACAACTAGAACGTCAAAAAAACAGTAGGTTTAATTAGCAACACAACAACTTCGCACGTGCAACACACTTTTTTGTTCATTTCTTTCCCGTTTTTGCACGACTACGACGTGAAAATGCCTAATTTCGCGTTTTATGGAGGACGTAAATAAGCAACGACGAAATTTTATTTCTCTTTCTGAGCTTGAATATGGTCCCTTGAAATTCAGCTTTAGGAGGGTTCGCCTACAATTGACAAAGTAAGTGGGTAGGAATAATCGCTATAAAGACTGAAAAAAATAAACATCAACCAGAAATTGCTCTC